TTGTGACTAAAAAAATAATTCCATATTATTTATAGAAATAAAGAGACTTAGTTTCCTCCTCCACGTGCAACACCGGTAAATTCCTCTTAATAACACACCCTCTTGAATAAATTCTTGATTAAGAATTTACTGATGAATATTTATTCAGTCTCCTATCCTCACGCGGTGTCATTCCAATAAGTACTTAATCCGATACTAAATTCTCCTTTTGACTTGGTAACAACTTCTGAAATTTTCAAGAAGATGTTCAGCAAATCCAGCACCTCTGATATATCATCATGGCGTTACAGTGGTCTTTATTTACCACTACCTCACGCATACCGAAACATTAACAATCACCAATATCATGGCATTGTAATATGATACGAATCCATACCTAACGTAAAGTATATCAAACTAATCGTTCTAAATTGTTTGACTCGTAGTGATGATTTAATTATCCCATTCCAAAACACACCATAATGACACACGTCCAGGTCCAATAAATTGGCTAGATTTATATGTATCTACCAAATCCTACGACCGTATGCTCACAAATCTAGCGTAAATAACGCTATTACACCATGTTATTAAAACAATAATTGGCTGATCACACCCTTATGTCCCCAACTAAACCACATACCAAATCCCGAGTAATTAACAAAAAATAAAAATAAAACACGTATGATAAACACAATAGAACAAAATATACTCCTACTTAGGACATCGTTCTTTCTAGAAAAAAAAATCTCCTTTGAAATCAACCTTACTAGATTGTTTCAAAATTTTCTTTTATAGTTTCGTAAATAATCATTCAACCTCGAAACATATCCTTTAAAACATCGCTTAAAAGTATAAATGTTTGCCTAAGCAAATACCAAGGGCTTAACCCTCATCCTCCTTATATGCGGAATGTAAACTGTCTAACTTGACTTTATAAATCGAATTAAAATGTCACAACATAATACCAATGCCTTTTTGTATGTGATTTAAAAATTATGTATTTCGTTCTGATAAGAACACATTTGATCCCCAAACTCCTGAACAATACTTCTTATATACCTCTTTTAGAGATGATAAGAAAGCTTAATTATTTGTAGATTGATCAACTCCAATTCTACTAATAACATTCGCTATACTATTAGCAATTCAGATCACCTCGCGCGATCATCCATCTTCAAGATTTAGTACCCTCTCTACTGGATGCACATAAATCTCCTCCATTAGGATCTTCTTCGGCTCCTACTCTTCGCTTGTCTCCTTTTTGAGATCAACTGAAGTCGTGTTGACCCCGATATGCGGTGATCTATCACGTACACCTAAATCCTTCCTTAGCTTATACTTTTAAAGTAACACCAAATGAACCTAAACCATCGATCCCTAACTCTGCCTTCTGGCAACGAAATCGATAACGTACTCCTTTACTCCTTTGGCTCTTTATCACTTTCGCCTTGAACCCATCCTTTTCCTAGTGCCAACCATTCTATGACTACAAAATATAATTGACATCAGCTCTTCCTAACAAACCGTAAATAGAGTACAACGAATTCTAATACGGGCTCTAAGTTTTAAGAGACGCAACGCGGAAGTCACATAACGAAAGACACTCCTAAGGACACTTGAACCTGGAGTGCTCTGATACTAACTGTGATATCCCCGAATTCCCGAATGCGGGTTGGCCAGGCCCATGCCCAAATACCCGAGGATATCAAAACAAATTGATAATAAACGAACACAGAGTACAAAAGAATAAAGAAGAATAAATAAAATACTGGCAAGAAACTAAAATGATAATCTAATAATAAACCTCATAATATATTTCCATTAATTAATAAACTCTTCTGATACAACTGATCCTCCAAAATACAACTCGGGAATCCATACTGTGTGGATCCCTAGAAAATCCAAACTAAACAAATGGCAACAATAACTGTCTAAATCAGGAAACTGAATCATAAAGGAACTCCTATGTAGCATCGGAAGAATGAAGTATACTGATCCCCGCTTAGCACGAACAACCTCTACTCCTGACGAACACCTGAAAAATAATGGTGGGTCAGGCCCACAAAAAAGTTCTACTCTACTACAGTCCAAACAGAGATCCGATACACGTATACATCCTAGTCAATCCAACAGTAACTAGTAATCCGTATATATATATATATACACACACTAAAGGAACCTCACTAGACTATAGGGTTGTCTCAACCTGAATAGTAGGCAACATGCAAAACGCACATATAGTGGGCATGAGTACCTAGACCTACCAGGGTATACAACTACACTATATCTAGCTATACATCCCTGGCGATATACGCACCCTAACCACTGATCTTGAGACTCAAGCTCATATCATGGCACCATACTTATATATATATAATCTAGTAACCATCCTATCCAGTATAAATTAATCCTCCATAAGTCATTCAACTTGTTCAGCTGACCTGACTTGAATATAAGTAGGACTTAACATTTTAGTTAATCCATTCCCTTATATAATAAATTAATCCTCTATAAGTCATTCAACTTGTTCAGCTGACCTGACTTGAATATAAATAGGACTTAACATTTTAGTTAATCCATTCCCTTATATAATAAATTAATCATCCATAAGTCATTCAACTTATTCAGCTGACCTGACTTGAATATAAGTAGGACTTAACATTTTAGTTAATCCATTCCCTTATATAAAATAGGTAGGACTTAACTGATAAGTTAATCCGTCCCTAGAATGCCACCGTCCCATACCGGTGCATTAAACCACACAATGCAACAATTGATGTAATAATTAAAGAAATACATCAAACATTCCAGAAATAACTATGATAATATGATATCAAGTTATCACATAATATGATATCAAGTTATCACATAATATGAATGACTTATTATTTATTTAAACTTCCTATATCATATGTCCTACACAAACTGAATCTTATACATGATAATATATTATTATATCGTCAAATAAGTATTCTCTATATCCAATTCATCCTACACATTTAATCTCAATTGCTAAAGCATTTTAAAAGATTAAATCCATTCGTTTGTTTAAACATTCAAATAGCAAGCATCGTTATGATTGAGTGAATTTAAATTTATTTAAACCCAAACCTAGTCCCTATTTAATGTTCAGGAATTCTAGGCATGTTTCTACGTTTCATCATTCCACAGATATGAAAAATACATAATTCAAACATGTAAAAATTCACATCAGAAATCAAATCAAAATCATGCATTTTATAATTTATAACACAAGAACAGATATGAACTAATTTCATAAAAACCTATACTTTAATCCAATTAAACATACATAATTATTTAATTTTATGTGTTTAATAAATCCTGAAATTTCCTAGGCATGTACAAAAACACGAATCAAAGGGAAAGAGATAGAAGAAGAACTTGCCTTAAACTTTCAGATCGAAAGTTAAACTTCTTCTTCCTTGATCTTCTCTCTACAGGGTTTTTTTCCTCCTTCCTTCATTTTCCTCCTTCCCTCTCTAACTCTCTCTCTCTAGAATATATCACGTGAATATTTCTAATCCCCTTTTACAACCTATAGCTATATATTTATAGGGTAAATAAAATAACCCTAACCATTTTCCCAATTCAAGTCAACTTAAAAAATATATATATATTAAAATATTAAAAAGGTAAGTAAAATATGTTACGCATATAATTTATTTATATATTTATTAAATAAATAAATTATACACATCTCCAATAATACTTAAGTTACCATAATATTATAAAGTAACTTAAAACATAATACGTATCAAATCTATGTATATTTTTATTATTTAAATATAAAACATATACATAAGATTAAATATTACTACCCAAGTTACCATAAAAGTAATTAATAAATTACTTTCCCCTTTATATATATTAAAAAGGTAAGTAAAATATGTTAAGTATATAATTTATGTATATGTTTATTAAATAAATAAATTATACACATTCCATTATTTATTAATGGATTATCCAATAATACTTAAGTTACCATTATATTATAAAGTAACTTAAAACATAACACGTATCAAATCTATGTATATTTTTATTATTTAAATATAAAACATATACATCAGATTAAATATTATTACCTAAGTTACCATAAAAGTAATTAATAAATTACTTTCATTTTTATATATGTATATAATATATATCTATATATATACATACACAACTATCCATGAGTAATAATCCACACACATCCAACCTCCTATCCAAGTAGTCCATGTGACCCAATTGGTTAGCCCATTACTACTAACCATAACCATAAAAGAAAAATAAAATAAAATAATAAAATAAAAGAAAATATTTAATTTACAATTAATCAAAACACCATTTAAGCACATAATCTAATTAAACAATTAACACATAGACAAATACAAATAATACATAGGCACGTAAATACCTAATTCAATTAAACACATAAGTAATTAGTCAAATAATCAATTAAATAATTAACAATACAATTAAAACAAATAAATAAATACCGAGACTATCCTTTTAAAATTAGGGGTATTACAATTTTATATATATATATTTTTAAAAAAATGTAAAAATTGTTTAAACCTCAAATATCATTTAATCCAAATCTGTAAAATAAAGAACTCGCGTCATGAATCCTTCAATCTTTTTTTATTAAAGAATAAAAAAGTGGGACACAACAGAAGCTAACATATCACAGGACATGAATACTAAAATAACAATAATGATGAAAGTAAATCACTCATATTGAAAATAGAATTACAATCCCTAATTTCTTGACGATAGCTTTTTTCAGCTCATTAACAAGTCTCTAATGGTCTACTTGGATCATAACCTAAATCTTTTCACACAAAGCGGAGCACAAAAGTGATAAAATGGAAGTCACATAGAGTGAGAGAGAGAGAGAGAGAGGGAGAGAGCACACGTGTGGAGCATAAAAGTTGCACCCATTTAGAAGAATTGGATAACTTACATCATACCATCTCATTACTGCAACTTATCTCCATTATCATGACACATCAATGTAGAGGACCAATTAGACTCCAGAGTTCCATACATCTGCCTAACAAACTGCAAAGTCAAAATTTTGTTAATCTGTTTATATCCATTTCAATTGCATTACAAACAAACATTCGCCTAAAAATGAATGGTGTTGGCCAAACAGTTCAGACAATCATGTCTGTAGGAAGGAGACTGATATATCCTTATTCGATAAGGGTACATGCCTTATCTCATCACAGCAACTGATATATCTATACAATTTTATTTTATTTTTTTTCTTGGCAAGAAACTTACACGCCCAGTCCTTCCGAGCAGATACCACTGTACTACACTCCTTGATTTTGATACGAAATTAGGTCAACCGCTTCCTCCTGCCGATAAATCTGGTTGGACTGAATGGTGTGAGATCAACAATGCTAGCACAACCATCTACCACAAGCTCCGCCACTGCAGCCCCTGTGGCCGGACCATTCAAAATGCCCCAACAATTATGCCCAGTTGCCACATAACACCCCTTTACGCCTGGAACCTCCCCTATCACTGGCAGACTATCATCTGTACAAGGCAAGAAGCATGCTTGCTCGGCTTTCACTGTTGCTTTCCCTTCCTCCAAATGGCTTGACACCATTTTGGCCACCCTCTTAAGCACTGCTATTGATTCGGGGTTGCCCACCACCTGTTCTGGATCCTCGGGCACCTCCACCTCCTCAGACGTTCCACACAAGTACACCTCCCCTGTCAATCCAATCCGTATGTTAAACAAATTATATTTTCAGCTTTGCATTCAATATTTTGCGGCTGGTACATTTTAAAACAGGTTTCAAGGAAAAAAAAAAAAGAGTTCTTAAAAAAACTATGAAATATTGTTATCTAACAAATTATCAAAGAAAGCAATTTTCTAACTTCATGTTTTTCCTTTCAGTTAGCCTTTTTTTTTTTATTTTTTTGGTGCAAAGATCACAAAATACACAATTGGTAGTTGAAAATTTGGAAATTTTGACCCACAAGGCTTCATTGCAGGGGATAAGCATGGAAGAAGAAGAAAACACAATTGTTTATCACTACATTGTTACATGGTATTAATTTCCATGAAATGATGAAAAATGAGTACAATAAAGTTCAAAGAGTAATACCATTAGGCTTAACTAACTGGAATTTTGTTCCTGTTCTTAATAGAAAAAAATGACTCAAAATCTAATGGTGGTTTGGTTCAATTCTCTTAAAACTGCTTCAAGATCTCTGAAAAAGAAAACAATTTTTAACTAAGCCTTCTTTAAACTCGGTTCTAAAATTTTTGAACTTCTTTAAACTCGTTTATTGCTACATTGTTTTATTTCCTTTTCCCTTGGGATGAAACCTTGGGGTTAACACGCTCTCTGTTTGATGAAACCTTGGGGTTAACACGCTCTCTGTTTCATTTTCTGTATGGACAGCAGGAAGAGCTTAGCAGGTATTCCTTTCGGGCCGGTTGACAGCTCTCTCTCTCTCTACTACATATCTATATAAAAATATAATGGGGATGGGGTTAAATGATATAGTTATTGCAGGCAAATCTAGCTTGGTCCAAGTACATCCTATTTGAACAAGTGACTATATAATACTAGACTTTATTAACTAATTATCCTTCCATATTTATTAAATTCATATCCTAATTGACTACTACCTCTCTCTAACCGAAACATCCACTTATGCAATCATTCACATCCCCCTATCTCTCTCGGTATCCTTATATAACATGTAGGCCATTGCCCCTGTTTTATATTATTTTTCGGTAAAAGGGTAAGTGGCCTCTGTTTTCTCTTACTTCGCTGTTTGCTAAACTTTTTTTCATATGGTTTGGGAAATCAATACACACACACACACACACACACACACACATACATAAAGCCAAAAAGGTTACCCAAACCATATGAATATATATATATATATATATATCTTCTTCACAATTAACCACGATATATATAGTTTTCTTTTACTTTTGACATCGTTCATTTCCACCCATGGCCATGGCATGCTTGGATTTGTTTGTATCTGCTTGGAGGATGCTATGTTCCTCCTTAAGTTCGTCTTTTTCGTGACCCACCACCATCTAAGATAGAGAGAGAGACATTTCTAAAAAGAGAGATGCAGTTTTTTTTTTTTTTTTTAAATTACTTTTTCTTTTTGTCAAATTTCAAATGCATGCAAGAATTTCTGAATCTTGAAAAAAAAAATTTGATGGGTGTTGTTGGTCACGGTTCCTTTCACAAAACTTTACAGAAGGAGTTGGTCTGCTACTACTAATGGCCTCCCAGGCTAACATACAATACGTGCGCTATCATAATGGCAAAATCACCCAAAATTCTGATTCATGATGTAGTTAATATGGAGTACTTTAGATTATAGTTGCAACAACTAATCAATAAGTGTTACACTTTAACTTTACAAGGAAAACAAAAACCAAAAAACTAATCGAAAGCATTGATTTTTCCTACGAGAAATGTTCTCATAGAATCTAGAGTAATATGAATATGTTGTCCATCCATCCATTTTTCATTATAAATATTAATCATCCATAATGGATTATATGAAGAAAATATCCTAATCAGATACAATAAAAAATATGTATGATAAGTAATGCTATGTTACCATAGGTCCCAAAATTCAAATTGACATCGCAAAGAATTATTGAACCATCGCTACTCTAGTGACATATTTTGTGGACTAGAAGAATGAAGCTACACAATTGTTACCTACAAAATAAAGTTCGATGTTTGAGAGACCTTGGTGTGTGTATGTATGGGTAAAGGGAGAGAGAGTGTATGCGAGTTATGATAGAAAAATAAAGAATGATCATCAAACAATTAATATAAGAGAAACCTTAATCAGATCACATATACCTATGCAAAGGAACAGAGAAAGATTGTAGGTGACAGCTAGAGCTTTATGACATTTAAAAGAATTATTGCCAAATAGAGCAAACTTTTTTCTTTTGGGAAAGTTCATCAGGGCAAATTTCATCCTCTCGAAACAAATCTCAAGATGAAATTGCACAAAACGGCCATACTAAACTCTGTATGTAGCAAAAGGTCCATTCTTGTGCAATGTCAGTATAGCCGTTTTGTGCAATGTCATCTTGAGATTCGTTTCAATAGGATGAAATTTTCTCAAATGAACTTTCCCAAAAGAAAAAAGTTTGCTCTATTTGGCAATAATTCTTTTAATGTCATAGAGCTCCAGTGGTCACCTACAATCTCTCTCTCTTCCTTTGCATAGGTACATGTGATCTGATTAAGGTTTCTCTCTCATATTAATTGTTTGATAGGTCATTCTCTATTTCTTTATCTTCATTCACATACAGTCACTCTCCCTTTGCATATATACTCCGTATAATATATATACACACCAAGGTCTCTCAGATGTGGAACTTCATTTTGTAGGTGACAATTGTGTAGCTTCACTCTTCTAGTCCACAAAATATATCACTAAAGTAGTGATGGTTCAAACTACATAGATCATTATTATATATTATTTGTATCCAATTTAAATTAGAAAAATGCCTACTATTTCCTATTTTGACTGAAAATAATCACCATGTTCGCGTAATGTGAATTGGCGTAAAATAATCGCAGCTCTAGAGGAGAGTTGACTCCATCTAGACCCCCACTAAGCTAAAGAGCTAGTACCACTACATTCCTCCTCTCATATACTCGGTATACTACTATAACAACAACCAAGCCTTTTCCCAATTATTTGGGTCAGCTAGTTCCATTCTGCTCTATTTAAGGCCACTCTAATATACTTGGTATGCATTTTGAAAATCAAATCAACGAAGTTCAAATGAAGAAATTAGTTCATTGATCATCCGATAAATTTTTTTTTCCCTAGTTGGTGCTCACATACCCGCCTCAAATAAATTGTTTGCACCAAAGAGGAGTCAATCTTGTGGCACCAAGGCCAAGCGACTTGCCCACTTGAGCCAACCCTTGGGTTATCCAATACTTAAATTAATCAGTAATTCATGATCATTTATCAAGTTTTGAACTAGTTTACTATTTTCAATTTACATTGTTTTATTTCCTTTTTCCCATGTATTCACATTAGCCAAAAATACATAACATTAAACCATCATTTCCACTCATTTTCCCAGCAACCAAACAGACAAATATATATATATATATTATAAAAAAAAAAAAAAAAAACAGAGATTTTATGACCAATAAATGAAAACTGACCTGTAGGACGGGGGTACACTTCTGGGTCCATGGGCTTGCCTCCTTGGGCCGCATAGTAACTGAGGAACAGCGCATGGGGCGTAATCGCATCAGGTTCATTGGGCTCCAAAACTATGCTATGGGCTTTCAACCCATACACCCTGAAAATTGACGACAGCAAGGAGAGCTTACTGGACCAAGGCCCAAGAGCCAAAACCACCCCATCTGCCTCGATCCTCTGACCCCCCTCCAGCACCACCTCCCTCGCTCGTCCCTCCTCCACCTCCACCTCCACGCGCTCCAATTTCCCGATCACCACCTGCACACGGTGGTCCGCCACCGCTTTCGACAGCAACGTGCGAGTGAAGAGCTGTGGGTGGACTTGGGCCGTGGTCTCGGCCGTCCCAATAGTCTTTGAGCTTCGAGCTGGGCCGTCGACCCAAGAAGGAAGATTTGGACTTGGGCTTTTACGATGAGACTCCGATTCGGTGATGGTAAGGCTGAGAGCGGTGAGCGGACGATAACCGTAGGATTGGCGTCCATCGAGATCTTGAGCGAGTGAACGGTGGAGATTGAAGCTGGCGCGGGCGAGGGAGGAGAGGGGCCCACTGTCGCACCAGTCGAGGGCGAGGAAGCCGCCGGCTTTGCCGGAGGCGGCGCAGGCGACCGACGATTTCTCGACTAGGGTTACGGCGGCTCCCTTCTTGGCGAGGAAGTAGGCAGTGCAGACTCCGATGACTCCGCCGCCGCAAACCACCACTCGCGGTGGCGGTGTGTTCTGGTGGTCCATGGACGGCGATGTTGATGAGGACGAGCAGATCGGGATAATTGTAGGGTGTTTAGAGTTTCCAAATTGTCTGAACTCTGGAACAGAAATAAAGGACTGTGATGTCATCAACATCTTTCAATCTCTCTATTATTATATACTACTGTAGCCTACAACGGCGTTGTTGGAAGAGTACACGTGTTACTGGTACGCACTTCTAAAGAAACCAATTCATCATCTTCATACTCGATTAAATTTGGATAAAAGTACATTTCAGAATTATTTTTCCGATTTTTCATTTATTTTTTTTAACAAAGAAAAAAACCACATTCTAACATTATATATATATATATATATATATATATATATTTTATAGATACATTAGAGTACACAAGATATATATATCTATATCTTGTTGCGGTTATGATGCAACCGATTTTGATAAATATCAGTATAAACGAGTTAATTCATTAAGATGTGTAACAGTATTAAACTTTTAAAAAATAATTATGAACAGACTAAATCGTCGTGTAGTGAGGGATATGACAAACATGATATATATATATATATATATATATATATATATATATATATTAGTTTGAATGAATCACAAATTAACATATAAGTTAAAAATTTAGATGGTCCCAAACCTATAGTTTTGTCCAATTACTATCGAATGGGTGAGTAAAATGCTGAATAAAGTTTGTGTTTGTATGCAGGTAGTGATTGCCCAGACCAATGGCGGACCCAAAAATATATTTAGGGGACTAATATATTATACAATGGATTAGTACTATTATTATTATTTTTTGTTTGAATTGGGTTAAAATTATCTGTAGTAAAAATATATATATATATATTTTTTTGGAGGCTCAAGCCCCCTTAGCCCTTGGCCCAGACTATTGATACGGCCACGTAATAGTTGATAATTAATTGAATTTTTCACACAATGCAATTTCATAATATTTATTTGAATTTCACTGTAATATTCTCTCTTCTCTTTTTTTTTTTTTTTTTTTTTTTTGGGCGCTTTAAACCACCGGAATACATTTGATGGTCTTAGGGTAACCTCAACGCACAAGGAATGTGTACAATATCAGATGAAGTGCTGAATGAATATCCTTACCATGCACATTACACACTTGTGGGCCACACTTCATATTCCACACCCAATTCTTTAAATGTGTAGAATCAAGTAGCATTGTACACTTGAAATGGTGGGCTTGTGTGTACTTTTAATATTATAAAATAAATTGATCATGTATGAATAGTATGTGAATAAATATTAAAATAATAAAGTGTAAGAATATAAAAGATATGTCCATAACAAGAGAAATAAACTTTCAAAAAATATGTAGAGCCATGTCACCACAATTGCTGACATGGTGCTACACTTTGTAAAAGTGTCGAATGAAAATGGAGATACTGCACTGAAAATGTTTTTATTGATTACAAAGCAACTATGTTTGAGGAATGGAATGCTTTTATATATATATATATATTTTTTCCCCGAAACTTATTGATGTGTCCAAATAATTGTCACTGTTGTTTTGAATTGGTAAGAAATGATGGATTTTAATGGTGTGCTGATTGTGATTGAATTGAAATTACTATGTTTTATTTTATTTATTTTTAATTATCACTACTTGATTGAAGAGCTGAGAAGTGAAGGATTTGTGGTTGAAGAAGAGTGGAGAGGGAAAACAAGTCATTCAAGTCTCTGCCCTTCTTACTGGACAACTTCAATGCCCCGCAAACATCTAGAAGGAATACCAACTATAACATTTCTGATAAGTAGAACACACTCGGAAAATTATCTCCTAGTTTTACTTTTGTGACTTTAAACGATAAGCAAGTCCTAACAAAATTCAATTAAGTCGTGACTTTTCTATTGTTTCATTCCAAATTAGATTTGACTTTTAATCTTCATTTATTTCTGACATAACATGTAAATAAATGGAGGCTAAGAGTCAAATCTAATTTGGAATGAAACAATAGAAAAGTTACTAACTGATTTGAATTTTGTTAGGACTTGCTTATCTTTTAAGGTCACAAAAGTAAAACTAGGAAATAATAATATGTTTTTTTCATGTAAAATATTTTTTTATTTTTACTTTATCGGTGTTAGGCAAACGTCTACGACGAAGTTGAGATCGAGTCCATTCGGCGAGACATGTAAAATAATTTTTCGAAAATGGATGAATAAGTTATTTTTGTTAAATTTTAATTTTTTTTTTTTCGTAAATATTTTACGACAACCAAACTCCAGAAAATAAAAAAATATTTTCTAAAAAATATTTTACCTATGAAGCCTTAGGTTAAAATATTTTTTTCAAAAAATATTTATTTTTTAGGTAAATATTTATTTTTTTATTTTTTTGAAGTATTTGAAAAAGGTCAAAGTCGAAATTGAAGTCGAGTCTATCAAGTGGGACGCGTAAAATAATTTGCTGAAAATTGATAAATAAGTTATTTTTTGTTAGATTTTAATATTTTTTCCTTTTGTAAATATTTTACGACAACTAAACATCAAAAAATACAAAAAATATTTTTTAAAAAATATTTTACTTTCAAACAAACGGAGCACTGTGTTTATTTTAATTGCACTGAGGGCTGTAACCGTGATGACAGATTTTGTATTACATAATGGTACATACTTTGATGAAGTTTCAGTGGTTGGACATAAATTTAGATTTCAGTTAATAGTTTGATAAGTAATAAATTTAACAACTGTTTTATATAGACCTCTGTTGATTTGTTCTATATATATATATATATATATAATTATATATACAAACTAAAGTGAAATGATGGATGAGTTTGATACCAATTAATTATGTATAAACTTATTCGGAAATAGATCTTTAAAATTCTCTTTTCTATTAAATTTTATAAGTAATTATCACACACATTCAGGAAAGAGCTCTTGGCATCCATAATGTGGATTGAATGTCCTATTGATAGGTCTCATAAAACTTTTTTTTTATTTTATTTTTTATGATAAAATAAACATACACTTTTCTGTTTCACGGGAATTCCTCCCATCTTTTTTAAAGATGTATAGACTATACTATTAAACCAATGGCCTTTGGTAAGTCCCATGAAACTTTCAATAACAACTGTTGATAGATGATGAGGAGATTTAATATCTAAAGTTTTTTGACATAAAATTTGGGTGTTTTATCACACACCCACCTGACTAGTTATAAAACGCATTAAACGTTCACTATACAACTCCAAACAAACAAATCATGACAATAAAGAATGCTTCAATGAGCTCATTATTTTACAAGAGTCTCTCACTAACAGAAAGTTTGTTGCTTATAAATGAAATTCTCTATCCTATTTAAAGAGATTTTTTTTAATATTATACATATTATAATTCCTCTCTGTAACTGTTTCTTCTATATATTTAACACACTACAAAATTCTTTACTGTTCTAAGGTATTTTTACTCTCTACAAATATTTATAATCTACAATCTTTTAACTCTTTTTACAATGAAGTACTAATTTTGAAAAATTCTAGATATCATGTTGAGTCATGCTTAACACTCATGTAATACCTACCTGTATGGATGACAACAGGGTGAAATTGGAGCGAATTTGGCTAAATCCTACTTTGTCTCGTTCATCATACCAACTCCGCTCCCACTTTGAAATGAGTTTGTAATTGGTATATCATTTTCGCCCACACTCTGACAAAGTAACGACTCCATCCCGCATAATTCATTTAATTGAGAGGGCGGGGCGAGTTATGTCACTTCTATTATTTAGTAAAAAAAAAAAATTAGTACAATGTGCTCAAATTTGAAAAACTGGGCGAGTTGACATTTCATGGAATATTGAAGGCTTATAATAGTAAATATACACTAATTAAATTGATAAAATTTAAAATATAAAATGGTGTAATCTTACTCTTGATAAATGGATGATATAGCGTTTTTGTGCGAATAATGTGACACTTTTGTGTATCATTAGATTCCCAACACGATTGTAGATATATACCCTGAAATGGGAAAAAATACTGTTACGCTAATATCAATGTAAGGACGCCACCTGTCAATTATATGTTTGGGTTGGGACTGGGCCACCTCCCCTCCAATGGATAGACCTGAGAAGTCTTTGATTATGTAAAAATTGTTATATAACTTCAGAAAATTAGGAGACGATGGGAGGACCTAAAATTTTATTCCACCAACTTCTAAGATGGTATCTAGGCTGAAGTGGTGTGTATGCAAATGGCCAATGGTTTTTATAAATTAAAATTAAAATCGGAACTGTTGAGACATAAAATCGAAACCCGAACCAAATCGGTTCCATGGTTTCAGTCCCGATTCTCCTAATTTTATTTTATTATTTTTTTTTTTTCTTTTCCGTAATACTTTGACTAAGGCAATACCTTGGACTACAACAAGCATCAATAAGCACAACTCCTAAACTGATTTGCTAGCAGGGGTATCAATGTAGAGATGGGTTGATCCCTAATTCCCTACTAGCTCTCTAACAATTTATTTGCTTAATATAGTTCGCTTATGTCCACAAATTCCTTTTTATTTTTTATCTTTTATTCTCATATTTTCTTTGTAACCATTTTCTTACATAGATCATTATATATTATTTGTACATGAGCTAAATTAGAAAAATGCCAATTATGTTCAATCAAATAACAAATACGTACTACACTGAATTATGAAAATCAATGAAGTTGAAATGAGAAAATTATGATAATTAATCAATAATTCATGAACATCAATCTCAAATGCTTTTATTTCTAATTAAATTTCACATCCTCCCATTAACTTTCCAATACATGCTATATGATCGAGGACCCCACGGAGTTAAAAATTCTCACCAAGGCAACAACAATCCCCACCCCAAGTTGCTGTCTCTTGCATTTGGATGTGTATGTATGAAGAAGTATTACTTTTGTACTAGCAGCTTATAAAATAACAAACCAAAATGATAAGTAGTGCTTTTCTGTAAACCACACACATATATATATATCGAGGCACTCAAACATCTATTCTAGGTCTAACTTTTTCCCCTTTATTTTTATATTTATTTTGGGGGATCAGAGATAAGCCTTCCTCAGTTTAAGAGTTCTATGTTAATACATGATATTGAAGGGTTCTTGAGGTGAGACAATATCCAATATTTTGATCTCAATTAAGTTATAAATACATTCCAAATTCTAGTTATATATATATAGATATATATATAGATGATATATTAGACTCTTAACTCTTAATCACAAATTTACAATC